ATCCCCCAGCACCACATGCCAGCCAGCCCTGCCCCCTGGTGGGCTGAGCTGGCCACACACACACACACACACACACACACACACACACACACACTAAATGTAAAAATAAATAAATAAATAAATAAATAATTTTTTAAAAAAGACATGCAGAGAAAGTAATATGTATTATACTATTATGCCATAGAGATAGCATCTAATGTTTTGGGGGGTCTGGTGCTTCAGCTTTGATGTAGTCTTTCAAGCCCCTGGAGTCATAGCCTTTATCTCCAGGCTCAAGCCCAGCTGGTGGTGTGGAGCATTAGCTCTACTGTCCTGTCTTGACCTGGCTCACGTTAAAGAGCAGCAGGTTTAACAGGGAAACATGCACGCCATCTTCAAAGACTATCACCAGCACCTCAGCTAGACCAATACACATTGCTTAAGGCCATTTGAAAGATAAACAGAAGTCCTAGCCAGCTCTGTACAGAACAATACGAGGAAATAGGGTCAGGTGCAGTGAAAATGGAGACAGTCACTCTTCTTTCAAGGAGAGCTGCTCAGGTGACCTCCACAACCAAAGACAGAGACAACTCTTTGTGATAGCTATTGAAGTGGACTTTGATAAAGGATAAGCTTATTTATATTTTTTAAATTCTTAGATGATTAAGAGTACCTGGGAACTGCCTTGATGTTATCTACCAAAAACCTCATAAAGAAAAACTTCAGAAGCATTGCTTTTAGAGTTAAAAATAAGACAAAGATGCTTGTTATTCAACATATCACAGGAGGTGTGGCCCACACAATAACACAAGAAAAACAAACACAAGTCAGAACAATTATAAGAGACAAAACCAGCATTATTTGTAGGTAAGATGATCAACTAGGTAAAAACCTAATAAAGTCTACAAACCTCTGGCACTAACAAGAGAGCTTAGCAAACTTACCAGATTCAAGATCAACTTCAAAACAAATCAATCATATTGACTCCAAGAAAAACAACCAGAAAATAAGAAGATAACATTTGCAATAGTAACAAAAGTTTTTGGAGATGTTGTTTATAAAGACATTGAAATAATAAAATTAAGGTCCTCAATGAATAGAGAAATAAATGAAGAGAGAACCTGTGCTCTGTATGTCAACAAGACATAAGTGGTGCTTATGCAGTTTCTAAAATTATGTATGTGGCTTGCAGTATATTTCAGTGGAAGACCATGACTCTGGGTGGGAAGACCTACTGTAATGATACCAACTGTCCTTTAATGTACATCTATAGCAATTCCCACCAAATTTCATCTCTCTCTCTCTCTCTCTCTCTCTCTCTCTCTCTCTCTCTCTCTCTCTCTGTCTCGTGTGTAAACTCAGAAAAACAGCAATAAGCAGCTATAAATGTGCAATTTACAGAAGGTAAAACCTGAATAGCTAAGAACTTTTGGAAAAGATACTTTATACCCATACCTATAAGAAAAACAACAAACCTACCATTTCCATATTTCTATATCAGGTTCTTGCTATGTAGCCAAGGAACTTTCTATCTTTCTGCTTCAGCCTCCCAAGTGCTGGGATTACTGGCACACACCACACTTGTTTAACCATTTTATATTTAAAAGATTGGTAGCCCTTAGCAAATTGGATAATATCAAGCACTAGTAAGATGAGGCACAGACCCACACACAGGTTGGTGAAAGCTTCAGGCATGCAGGGAGACCATGGAGAGTGTGGTGTTCCTTGCCGGTCTGCATCCCAAACCTTCAGCACACGTATAAGGCCAAGACTTTCAGGCAAAGACCCAGAAGGACGGACACATAGATTCTGGTTATTGTGCTATCGGTGGGGAGTTGTAGGCAACCTGGGTACTCATCCTGACAGATGGATCAGGGACCTGCTGGTGCAGCTGTTACGCAGGCTCCTCTACAGGAAGGCTGTGTAGCCACTGTGACTCCATCTCCCACAGAGCCACTATGACAGGATTGGAAATACCAAGTCTCTAGCAGTGCCACTGGCCTAGATTAAAACGTACCCACTATGTCACTGTCTTATCAAAGGCACTGAAATGTAAAGAAAGTCATCTGGGCATGGTGGTTGACACCTCTAATCCCAGCACCCTGGGAAGATGGGGCAAAGGGACTGAAAATTCACACCCAGGTAATTTAACAATTTTGGAAGGTCCCTATCTCAAAAAAATGGCTGGGGATGTACCTGAGCCCAATTCGCAGTACCAGAAGGGGGAGTACAAGGAAGGGAGGGAGTGAAGGAGGGGGAAAGGAAGGGGGGGAGGAGGAGAAAAAGGAGGAAGCCAGCCCAGAAAATGTGGTGAGGGATGGAGTGAAGGTGCAGGAAGGGAAGGAGCGAGGCCGACATGCAACTTGGTGTAGATGACTTTTCCAACTTTTGGGTACCTGAACCCCGAACTAACAAAGTAAAATAAAATAGTATGATAAAAAAACTGTTAAAAGAAGTCCAAAGGTGAAAAACAAAACAATACGATCTGACTCCATCTGGGAAAGGGTCTCTGTCCGCAGGCGAAAGTTCCCTGCAGATTCCCCCGAGACCCCAACCTCTTCTACCCGGACCTTTCCCGCAGCGCACCTGGCGCGTGCGAGCCCCTCGAGTCCGCCCCGGGGCTCCCGGCGCCCAGATCCACGCCCCCCTCGGGGCTGGCCAGCTTCCCCGCTCAGGCGGCGGGCAGAGCTCACCGGCCCATAGCAGCCTGAGGTCACCCGGCCACGGAGAATGGTCTCCTCTGTGCGGCTTGTTTGCTTTGGTTCCTTGCTTTAAAAAAAAAAAAAAAAAAAAAAATTTCACACATAATTAGGGCTGTGGCAGCGAGATTGTGCTCGAGGTGCTTTTACTGGAAATTATCGGGAGGAGGGACAAGGGAGGGCTGTGTTCCTGTTAGCGGCGGGGGCCCGGAGGAGCGACCCGCTGGGAGTCGGCGACGGTAGGCAAAGCCCGGCGGGCGCGCAGAGGCGAGCGGCGCGGAGCGCGCTGGCTGGGCTGGGTGGTGCGTGCGCGCACGTACGCGTGGGCGCTGGTGCGGGGTGCGGGGGCGTGCCCGGGGCTTGCCAGGGCGGCGTGGAGGCTACCAGGGTGCAGGGGGCAGCCTGCCCGGTGCCCTCCCTCTTCTTACTTTCCTTTCTAAGGCTGTCCAGCTGCAGAGAGAAGGGAGCGTGTGGCGGGCAGACGACGCAAAGTGTGACCCAGGCGCAGGACAGGCCGTGGAGGGGAAGGGGAGCAGGAGGACGGCGCTGGGGCCACAATCCCCCCACACCCCCGCCCACGGGTCTGCACCGCTTCAGGGCTCTTGAGTTCTGGTTTTGAGCCGGGAGTGAGGGGGCGGGGTGGCCCAGCAGGTCTCCGAATCTTTCTGGACCTCAAATGACTCCTCCCTGAGACTACCCAGACGCCAGCTGTGTGCAGACCCGCAGCCTATGAAGAGCGTTGCCCAGAGAATAATGCCACGTATGGTGATCTCCACCTCAGAGCTCCAGGGTGCGCGGCATGCTAACCGCTGCGAGAGTTCTCTGAGTAATACATAGCCCTCCTCACTTGGAGTTCTTCTTAATGAACACTTGCCAAAACATTGAAGGACAGCGCCTCCATTCTTTTTTTTTTTTTTTTTTTTTTTTTTGCGTAGCATCAGCTTGGGAGTTCCAATTACTACTTCTGAATAATAAACCTCCCCAAACTTAGTGGCATAAAACAACCATTTCATTATGTTCATGAATACTGTGGATCAGAAACTCAGAACTCATTGGGCATGGTTTATCATTACTGTTTGTGGTTTAGGGCCTGGAGGTTTAGGGTAGGGAGTGGGTGGCTCTGCAGCTGGAGCCATGGTCACTGGTGGGCCTGGAAGTTGTGGCTGGGACCTCAGTGGAGGCTCCAAGCTGTGGCACCTACAAGGTTGGACTTAATAGCTGGTACGTGAAAGCTCCAAGGCTAGTGTTCTAAGGGACCCTGGGCAGAGATTCTCCTTACCTTCTGTACCTTAGCTTGGGGGTGTGGAAGGCCCTTTATAAAGCAGGAGGAAGCCTTACAGAGTGACATACATCTGTATTCCAGTTGCTTGGGAGGCTGGAGATTGCAAGTTAGAGGCCAACCTGGGAAACTTAGACCTTGTCTCAAGACGTGTAAAAGGGCTAGAATGGTTCATTAGGACGTGTGAGGACCTGGGTTCAGTCTTCACTGAAAAAAATAAGTGGAGCATGCAGGATGGAAGGAACTGTTACCACCATCTTTGGAAAATGAATTTGACATACTCTGAGAAATGGCAAGCTCAAGCTTGTGGGCTTCTGAGGACCTTTTGAAATCCGATTCCATCAGGATTCTATCTTCTGGGTTCTAAATTCTGGGTTCTATTTACTCTCTCATTCACTTCCAGGGTGCAACTTCCAGGTTCACTTCCCCACATCCAGCCCTCTACCTGGCTTCTCCCTGGCTGTGTGGCTCCACATGGCCCTGTGGAGTATCACAGACCATAGAAAGGCCAGTGGGACCCACAGTGTGCTTGTCATCCCTGTTTTAAAGTCACTTGGGTTTGGCTTCTCATTTCATTCTTGGATGAGAGGTTTGGTTGGGAAGCTTTGGGGAGAGCAGGATTGACTGCAAAGTTCACCTCCTGCCTGCTTTGGGACGGTCATTTCTCCTTGACTGCTTGTGATAATGAGACGTACAAACTATGTTTGGCCATGGCTCTGGCAGAGAGCGGCTAAGTCCTTGTAATTCTCCAGCTAATGGGAGCCTTTGGTATGCCAATGAGATGACTTTTGGCTGAGGGGCTGAAGATGGCTTCAGGACTGGGGCTGGAAGCTCTAGCAAGGCCGATGCATAATCAGAGGGTTAGAACTTTCAGCTCTACCATCCTAAGTCTCTTTCAAAAGGTGTGGGTCAAGAACGAGTTCAAGACTCCAGCCAGTGCCCAGGCCAGACGTGTGTGTGTGGAACTTCCTCTATCAGACAGGCCTGGTGTGGAACCCTGCAGCAGAACTCTCTGCAGAGAGGCTAAAAGCAAGATCCACCCAGCTGATCCAGGAGCAGAACATCTTGCCAGAGTGCCACAGAGGGTTCAACTCCAAGGGCTGCAACAGGAAGAAGTGGAGCACAGCAGCTAGACTCTAAGGCATACCCCCCTGATAAGTTTGAACTTGATAGATCCAGATCTGGTGTTAAGGTAATAACTCTACTAAAGTTCTACACCAAAGGTCAGAAGACAGTGCTATACAAAATGACAAAGAGAAGGAGCAAAACACATTCTCAGGAGCTGAGCCCACCCAGAACAAATGCAGGAGACAATAGCATAGAAGAAATTGGAAAGCACATACCTGAAATCTCTGAAATAATAGCATCTGAAGTAAAGAACAACAGCAGAAAGGTAGAGAGAAAATCAGATCAGAAATAATTCCTTTTTTTTGGTGGAAATGGGGGGTTGAACTCAGGCCCTTGTGCTTGCCAGGGAAGTGCTTATTCTACTGAGCCATCTCCCCGGGCCCTCAGAAATAATTCCTGAAGTAAAAAAAAGAAGTGATAACTATAATGAAAGAAGTACCAAGTGCTTCTAAAGAAGACACTGATAAAAAATAGAGGGGAATATAAAAATGATGGAATCCTTGAATGAGCAATATAGGAAAGAAATGGAATGCATGCGGCAGATTCACAACGATATACAGGAAATTAAAGCCTCAATCACAAGATGGCAAAACTGTTTGAATGAAAGTGAAAATAGACTTTCAGACCTTAAAGACACCATTGCAACTAGTGAAAAGGTAAGAAAACATCTCCTAAAAACAACTAGGATGCAGGAAAAAATAGTTCAACATCTGCAAGATGATGCAAAGATGAACAACATGAGACTAATAAGCATCAATGAGAAAGAAGGAGTCAATACAAATGATATAAAAAAGAATATGGGTAGAAGTAATAGAAAACTTCCCAAACATGGGGCAACAATCTGACATTCAGGTGACTGAAGCATATAGAACTCCAGATAATGTCAACACAACTAAAACCACATCCAGACATATGCTAATCAAGATCCCAGAAATTCAGCATAGGAACAGCATACTAAAAGCCGCTAGGGAGCAGCTTAAGCAACGCTGGGGTCTGAGGAATGTCAACTATTCAACATGGAGGCGGAGGTCGATAAGCTAGAACTGATGTTCCAGAAAGCTGACTCTGATCTGGATTATATTCAGTACAGGCTGGAATATGAAATCAAGTCTAATCATCATGATTCAGCAGGAGAGAAAAATCCAGTAACGCTCATAAAGGAATTATCAGCCATAAAGTCTCGATACCAAACTTT